CTCCAAAACCATTACACAAACAACAACACACCAAACCAGGCTATGAATTTTTTTCTAGTCCCCCCCTCAACTGCTACTTTGTGCTGTGTTTCGCATCAACCACATCCTACGTACCACGGTAAGGAACAACCCAGGTGGCGGTAATTACCGGTAGGTAACAACCTCGAACGGCGGTAACGTCGATCACTGGCAAAATAGTTGCAGCAAGCACAGGTGACATTACACACAAAGAGAGAGAAACAACCCTCTTGCTGAACAATACTGAGGGCCTGTTACAACGTTTATTTTTGTTACTTAACTTGAGGCCCTGCAAAAAATAAGATTCGGGGGGTGGGCGGGGGCCAAAGACACTGATTGGTCAACAGGAAAAACATGATAAGGCTTTCTCTGCCCGGAAAAGCGGGACCTCGACATTGGGTGGAGCAAAAAACAAATGCTAATTGAATTTGTTTTTTGCTGACTCGAAGTACCCGACATGCACTGCTCCCCTTTTGCACCCCCCGTGATGAGCTGAACTCGCGCTGGCGTTACCCCTGACGGGACTGCATGTGGCACACTGGCCGTGCGGCACNTTTGCACCCCCCGTGATGAGCTGAACTCGCGCTGGCGTTACCCCTGACGGGACTGCATGTGGCACACTGGCCGTGCGGCACTCACATGCATCGCCCACTGCCCGCTGCTGAGAAATAGCTGTATTGCAATGATTCTGTGAGCGTGCCAACTTTTCGCGCTGGTTGGATTGCTGTGGAGGTTGCTTTCCAACATGTGCGATGTCAACAGTCAACGGCCGGTTGTGTGCAGAGACGGTGCAAACAACAGTTGAAGAGCAAGCCTGAGGAAGAGGGTTGGACCGCTGGCACCGCCTGCTGATGCGTGGCTTCGCGTGTGTGCTTATATATATATTTTCGGCTCCCGTGTGGTGCACATGGTCTATCGCTGTACCTGTTCGGGTCACCACGTCACCTCGCGGCAGCGATTCCGCCGCATTTGGGTGTTGTTGAGCTTCGGTGTTGCAAAAATGCGTTAAAACGACGCAAGCCCTTTTTGGCCGAAAACCCAAATTGCTTCATTCAATTTAGATATTCAACTTTAGGTGATAAAAATAAACGTTAATACACGGCCTGAAGGAGATACACATGATGGGTTCCCATCAAAGATACTGACGGGTACCGGCCTGCTGCGTCACTTAACCGCCCTTTGAACCACACGGGTTGGCATCTCATCAAAAAGAAACAAGCACCCAAAACGTAAGTACTTGAAAGATACAACTTCGCCGGATTTCTCCTCAACAAAGGGCAACACAAACATCCACCCGCGGCTCTAGTATGTAGTACTAAATACTACGCGCTGATGAGTTTGCACAGATCACTTGCGGACTTGCGGGGTTACGCCGTTTGATTTGTCATGTTGGTCAAAACATGCGCACACGATTCATGGTACATTGGTAGTCAAGGCTAGCAGTGGTCAAGGCTAGTCAAGGCAAGCACATCCATGTCTCGTTGCCACATGAGCACAAGTCGTGAGAATACCTCTACACGTGAGCACGTGCTCAGCGCACCTTGCTTTCTCCAATAGCGCTCGCCGAGAGATGATCTCGGACGCAGATGCTTTCATCTGAGTTGGGGATCTACTACGGCTGCTGGATGCCATCAGCTGAAATGCCATCCCGCCTGTGGCTGCAGAGATGACGAGCAGACGTGCTAAGACCCTTTTCATGCTGATGCCAGTGTATCCCTTTCTGCTGACGGTGAGTTCCACGACCCGCGCCCGGCGCAGCGGCGCCCGGACCAACTTGAGGGGGGCACACAGACAGCAGAGGAAGTTAGCCAATACCCCTTATTTATAACAGAATAAAATAAAAAACGCTGTTCCGAAATGTAGTGCACCTTCGGCACATGTGCTGGACATCGAGAGAGAGGGTGCGGAGGGACGTGTGTTGGGTGCGGCTGGACCATCAACGACTCAACAAAATTCGTATCAACGGCTGGATTTGTCGTGGGCTTCTGCGTAGACACCCCCAGCACACGTGGTCTCCGGGCTTTCTAGGGCGCAAAAGACGAAGGAGGAGGAGACAGCAACGAGGCAGGTTGCCTTGTTGCCCTGTTGAATCACACTCCATCTGGTGCAGCCCCTAACCTAGATTGCGCTGCTGCTGGCGAGAGGGGTTTGAAGCGACGAGCACGGAGGAAGGAGGGGGCCTGTACCGCAGAGGGGGTGAACTGGACTGATCAGCAGAAGCAAGCCGTGGTCGGTGGCGGCGGAGCAAGCTCTCGGTTTCATGAGTGGGGAGGAGATTTCCCGGCCTGGTGCTCCTGATGCAATTGTAGCTGGCACCGGCACCGGCAACAATGAGGTGAGAGGGGGGCGCAAAGAGAGATGAGATTGAGAGAGAGGTAGAGAGAGAGAGAGAGAGAGAGAGAGAGAGAGAGAGAGAGAGAGACCCATGGGTGCACTGCACCGCCACTGTATAGCGAGACCCAGCTAGTTCGTGTCTGCCGCAACTTTCTCTTCTCCCCTGCATCGAGCGAAGAGCGAAGGAACGCGTTGGTTCCCATCTTTTAGACTACACCTACCAATGTTCTGCATAGCTGCATGCGTGCGTTCCACGCCTTTGCACACACGTTACCACCGCCGCTTGCCACGGATCACCAAGAAGAAAGCTGTCCTGGCAAGGGAGGAGATACGAGAACCGTGCGTACTGTCAGAATTGGCGTCGCGTAAAGCATCCGAGCTATCGTTGCTGTTTACCTTTGCAATTCCGTGTGTACAACAATGTACAACATTTGAGCGCGGGGAATCAATCCATTTTGCTGTCGTTTTTTCCTTATCTCTGATGACTCTCGTGCCCAACAAGACACCCAGCAGAGATCTAAGAGATACACACACAGCAGGCAAAGTGTCTGTCCTGCTGTGCACAGCACCCGTTCCGTGCGACGGGCACGTCACGACGTCCCGCAAACGGTGTCCGAATGGGTGTGCTTCTTTCACAAGTATATTTTTGGCTCTTGCCGGATTCTGTTGGCACGGCGGTTTGGCGATCTGGCGACCACATCAGCGACGAACAGTAATATTATACAGTTTCGTGCTGCCGCAACCGCATTCCACAATAGGAGCACATACAAATTATTTACACGGCAAAATTGGACACGGAAAAAGGAGCGGCCGGTGTATGGTACAGTCGACCCCACTTTAAGTACGCACATGGTTTTCCTGGAATAATGTGTTGGCTGCTGCTCCTGATGTGTTGTACAGGCATTTTGGTTTCCGGGGACGCACCTCCCGCAGCCCAGGTCACAAAGCACCGACATACATGTCCGTAGGTGTTGCCGCCCCCCGCCCCCCCGAATTGAAGAATTTGTGCTGACGGGTACGCTGGGGCTCAGTCCCATGTGCGGTGTAACTGCTGCTGCTACAAGATTTACGTCCAACATGCCAACATGTAGAGCAGAGTACCTACATGTACCGTCAC